TTTTTTTTTTTTTTTTTTTTTTTTTTTTTTTTTTTTTTTTTTTTTTTTTTTTTTTTTTTTTTTTTTTTTTTTTTTTTTTTTTTTTTTGTTTTTTTTTTTTTTTTTTGTTTTTTTTTTTTTTGTTTTTTTTTTTTTGTTTTTTTTTTTTTTTTTTTTTTTTTTTTTTTTTTTTTTTTTTTTTTTTTTTTTTTTTTTTTTTTTTTTTTTTTTTTTTTTTTTTATTTTTTTTTTTTTTTTTTTTTTTTTTTTTTTTTTTTTGTTTTTTTTTTTTTTTTTTTTTTTTTTCCTTTTTTTTTTTTTTTTTTTTTTTTTTTTTTTTTTTTTTTTTTTTTTTTTTTTTTGTGTTTTTTTTTCAGGGTGTTTTGTTTTTTTTTTTTTTTTTTTTCGTTTTTTTTTTTTTTTTTTTAGTGTTGTATCGTGTTTTTTATCGCTTTTAAATCGTTGAATTTGTTACTCAAAAATTCGTTAAAGTTTTACAAAATATGAAATCGATAATAAAACAAATTCCAAATTTCAAATTTGGGCTTTGAGATGCCCATATTCTCAGTAAGATTACGTCATTTGAAATTAGATAGCTGTAGGTACCGTTGTTTTATCACAATGCGAGAAACATATATACATTTATGCAGATTCTTCGTTATTTAATTTCTTTAAATATAATACAGGGCGATAGTATTTGGTGGCAACGATTTGAAAAGTTGTACGCCATTTGTAGAGTTCCAACGCAAAATCGGAAAAAAAAAAGAAAAAAAAAAAAGATACTACATTTAAACTACATATAAAAGAAAAGTACTAAATATATATTTGTTTCCCTTTAACTCTTTTTGGCGCATTTTACAATATCCCCATCAAATCATATCATACAATAAACTTAACGTAAAACTTCTAAAAATAACATATACCCAACAAATATGAAAAAAAGGAAAAAAAAAAAAAAAGCTCTCGATTTACCTCCCTAAAGTCATCTGTAAAGCTTATATTTTTATTTATTTAAGTTTTTTCTTTACAGTAGAAAAATTATAGTTATAGTTACTTAGATTAGTTATTTTATTCACGGTCAGACTTTTTGATCATGTCATTGGATAATAAATCAGTGAACGTTTTAGGTCAAATTTGTTTGGTGAGTTAGAAACTGGTCGGACTATTCCTATTTACAATACTAAACAGTTTATCAATTTATTGCATATAATGGTTGTTAAGTAAAAGTGAGATGCTGACGCCAGCTGTCCACATTCAGATTCTCAATGTGAATAAAAGTTATTCATTCTACTGAAGGAAAACAGAATCCCTTCCTCCAAGTCTGCAACTATATTCTTAAACCCCTTGAAAAATCCATCAATTCTGTTAGCATCTGTCAAGAAAACTAATGTGAATTAGCCATGTGCCTAAAGAAGAAGGTATACGTGCTTTTCGTGTTCCATTTGCAGCTCCTACTGTACTTTCATCGCTTGGTGTCGAGAGGAGAAATAAACTTTTCATACTTTACCATATTCTCGCCCGAGATCCCAACAGAGGTTTAGCATATTACTCTTTGGGAATACAAGGATAGGATTTTCAGATGTGATTGTGAGAAAATTTTCACAAAGTACTCACAGAAAATGACTTTTGAAGAGTTTAGGTTCATTAAAAGGGCCTTACTGTCTATTGAGAAAACAGCATCAAACAAAAATGTTTGTAGAATCAGGAATTAATAAATAGAAATATCAACAGAAATATTTTTCTAGAAATTAAACATCAGTTTCAAGGTTATTTTTCTATGATTATTTATCATCTGAAACTGTCCCTTCATATAAATGCTTTTTTAAAGTACATATCTAATGCTTAATTCACTTATTTATCATTTTGTTTTTCTTATTTAAATGTTTTCTCAATTTGTATCGAAAATGGCTTATTCTTACAATTCCGGATCATAGTTTACTTTTCCTGGTCCCCAGGATGACCTTTGAATGAGGTTTGATTACATTTAATATCCTAATTGCATATAATCTTACATACAAGAAAAACACTAGAATTATTTATTCATCACTTTTAGCATATTTTGTTAAATTAATTCTTATAAATAGTAAAATCATAAAATTTGTTGGAAACAATTTTCACAAATTGATCGACAACGAGCCTTAATCACATGCATTCTGTGCCCGACTGGATGCATGTCTGAGAAAATGAAAATTGAAGGACATAAAAAACTCCGTAAATAGTACTGTAAAAACCGGAGAACCTTGCGCAACCATTTATATGTAATTTAGTTTGATAATAATAAATAAATCTTTCAGCGAACGTCTAATTACGTAATTTTATAACAACAGTTATTTTTACCGAGGCATTTATTCTAGAATTTTAGCTCCCCCGCCATCAGAGAACTCGTTTGATAACAATAGAGTAGTTCAAGGTCATTTCATTTAATGTTTATATACGATTAGCTGGTTGGAGCACATGTTATTCCATGCTGTTTCCCATGTCACGCTGATAAAAATTTCAGCTATTGTAAACATTGATGTCT